GAATGTCCTTCTTATTGCTGATCATATAAAACTTCTTTCATTGTTAAACACTTGACTTTTTGTACTGTATTAGAAACTGATATTGGTGTGATTCACGAGCGTTGTGCAAAAAGCACTTTGCCATAGAATACAAAAAATAACTATAATAATTTCTTTATCAAGAAAACGGGACGTTTGTTTCTTCCCCTATGTAAATAAGCGCAATATGATTGATCGTGTATCCCTGGTTAGAAATCGTGGCGTCTACATTGACAGTACTCCTTCAGACGGTTAACTCAGCGATAAGAAAGTCGGGAATGGTCAGCTTGTTATCCCGTTCTTTTACTACATTCTTATTTGTGGTGAGTTTTTTCTGCAGCCTCGTAGGCTCGGGACTTAAATTCGGTTCCATTCGAAAAAACTCGCCATCTTTACTTAACTTGAAATTGTCAAAAATTTGCGGAAGGAATTAATTCCAATTATTTACGAGCGATACTTCGGCCTGAAATGACTTGTTAGTTACAATCCTTTGCAACAGTTCTTTAGTTTTAAAAGCTTATCAACGAGAAGGGCTATTAGAGATATTAATTTTATTCATAAGATTGGGCATGGTACTGTTATTAAAACTGAGAGTTTAGTTGGGCTTATAAACTTTCACGTGCCCACAAAACCTAGTCGTATTTTTGTACATTTTACCGCGATATAATTGGTAAACTTTCTCTATTATCTCGTATTCAGCCTGTTTTATCAACGCAGGCAATTGTGAATTGGATCGTTTCCTCGAATTTGTGTAATATAAATTAGTCTTGGAGGAGTGTATATTATCTCACTACGACTTTGTGTAGTACCTGTATCTGCTTCGCAAATTGTATTCGAGTATTTTCACGTGCGTCTGTACATTTTGCATAGTGTTTTTGTAAACTCGAACATACAATGCACCACACAAAAGGCTTCACAGCTGTATCTGGTCACTAAACAACATTAAGTATTATGCTATTACCAGTATACAGTTACAGATTAAAAGAAAACATAATGCGTTTGGGGATGTGGATGAAGATGGGGTGCTTTATTGAGATACATGAACACAGGCACATGGTGCGTCCAGCATGAGTTGGAGTTACAACTTCAGAAAAAGGACAGGGAATAGCACCAGATGGTGAGATGATTAATTACCTGCGAATAACGCACCACACAAGACAAACGGTTTTTTAGTCAAGGACAATCGAAGCAAATCACGTGCACACCTATGATACCAACTTCCTTCAAATGGTGGACTGATGATCGGTCAAGTACAAGAAACGTTCTGGGTTTCTATCAGAGTGAGCATCTCTTCCTCGGCCTATGAAAAACCTCAACTATACTGACTACATCAACATCCAAAGTAAGCCGAGTATAACCAAGTGATTTTTCGCTCTTGAAGAATTGTTTCTCCTCAAATCTGAAAGGCAAGAATGCGAGTGCATGGCAGTCTGTGTAAGTAATTCCAAAAATACACAATAATAAAAAAAAAAAATGAATTGGAGGAAGGGATTGTAATTCGCCATTTTTGTTTTCCGGAGAAATCGCGACGCTGCGTAAGTTATAATCGTCTCCGTATATTTTCCAACTTAAACAGAACGATGGCTACTGTATCCGCAGTGAGAAGTTGTGTCTCGAGTGTGCATGCGAGCAAGCATTGGCGGCCCAACATATAGAAAACGTGCGGCATATTTGGAAGCTGTCGAAGTAACCTTCACATTCTGGGCGTGAAGGTATTTTTGCTATTTTCTTATTGCACACCCTCACCCACTCTATTTGGTGCTCATCCTGCCGCAAGGCTTATTTAGAGAAAGTAATTCCTCATGAAAAATAAGACAATACCGTGTCCTCTGTTAATTGTGAACTATTTTTATAATAAACAACCCTTTTGAACATTTATAACGTCTTACATATTTCAATCTCGTGTCGTTTCCCGGATCTCAATGTTCGTTCAGTCAATTTACACCTCGAATTTATTAAAAGCTACTCCTTTGAAACGCAACTTACTTTTACTCATTTGATATAGTTACATTCCTTGTCCATATATCCATTGCTGCTGATTAATATAAAGAAACACAAACATCATCTGTCTGTTTCAGAGTCCTTTCTTGGTATCTGTATCAAATAAAAGGACTCATAAACCAATACTTGGCAAATCCATGGAATTCAAGCCTTATTTTTCCACTTCAATGTCGGTGATTGCAAAATTGGCTGCATTTTACTGCATTGTTTCCAACGCAATTGCACCATTGGCAATCTTCGTCGCACTTTCACTCAAACTCATAATCTCTCAAGCTACTATCATATGCAGCATCCGTTCGCCGTTCAGCAATGTCAAAATCCGGCCCGTCGTATCCTCGTCGACATCATGGAAATCGTTCAAAGTTGCTAAGCTCGCTGTAATTTTTTAAGCTAGTCCTGTTCGGCAAGCGTGTCACTAATAGATTAAGGTCTTCCTTATCTAATTTTTTTTTATAAAAAATATTTTATTATTTTTTTTTGGCTCAACGTTTTTTTGGATAACTTATAAAAACGCTAACTTCCTTCACACACTTTGTGCCGATCATGCTACACTGGTCACTGCTATAAAGTTGTCAGTATTTGTTGTTATACGAGTATGTTTACGATGCCTTTTACTTAAGAAAGATAAGAGCAAAATGATTTCTTGCTTCATTATGTCCGTTGAAGAAACAGCATCTCTTAGGGTCCCCACTACCAACCACTTTTATTATAATTCCTCACTTACCAGTTAATGTTTTAATATAATATAATATTACGGCATCAAGTTAGAATAACATCAATATTTTATGTCCATAATCTATACCGATCTCTTATATTAGTAGAATTTTGGTCTTGTGAATAATAAAATGGATGTGACCCTTCCGACACTTGCGTTTGAACATCCCGAAGAAAAATAACTAATTTCTCAATCGGTCGATCTCGGTCAGTCAAAAGGCACACAGAAAACAAATACGGTACTCTGGAAACCCTTTCTAGCTCATTGTTGACAGATTAGGGAACCCGTTCGACTAATAGAGTTTCTTCATCCTTTGCACCGTTTACCATAATTAATAGCCAAACCCTTCCGATAGGCTAACCTGGCCGACTGCACAATAAGTGCCACCAATCCGAGACTAATCCCAAAATGTTCGTCACACAAAAGAGACACATCAGCGGCGGTGAACGTCAACTTGACGTTTTGTGCACATATCATGGTGACGTTTTTTTTCGTTTTTTTTTTATTGCTATTAAGCACTACAACATATGCCACGCTCCCGTCTTTTGTGCTTGGTGCAACCGACCAGAATAAAGCACACTTTCATTCTTCCACTTTTTACGCCGTCTCCAAACAATTACCCGCTCGACTATTTCACAACATAATCACGAACAACACGTAAAATATCATCAATCGCAGCCAGTCAGGATATACATGAATTTCATTGACGTCCCATCAGCCGTCGCTGCGGTGGCCTTGCTGCCCTTGCTGCTGAAGGCGGGAGTTCAGCAGTACACGTCTTTGCACCACTGAAATTGTTTTAACAACAAGTAGGAGTGACCACAGGCATGGTGCAATGAAGTGACGTGCAAGCCATGTACCAGGCGTTCCGGGAGGCTACGACATTTCAGCATTTTATATACACAAGCACAGATCTGACCTTGAGGAGGATCCTCCTGGAAGCCCAAAAAGTGGTAGCCGACGCGTCCCAAAGGCACTAGGCTTCTTCAGGCTGCAGAAGCCAAACTGCTAAATCGAAGCGTTACATCGCTGGATGTACGAGGCTCACAGGAGATTCCTTTTCAAGTTCTGTCAATCAGCTTTGACTAACCTTCGTTCCTTGACTTCGCCAACTGACACCTGCAATTGCACTTGTACTTAATAGCCGACAAACCGTTGTCATGCAAAATTGCATTAAAAATTATCAAACGTAAATTAAAACATATACGGGACTGAAATAATTGTGTTTGTTTTTGATGTAAAGTCATTTTTTGCAGTTAGATAAGCTTTTGTACTTCACGAAGAATTGAAAAAGGAGACCATGGGCTGAGAGACTGGGATCGTATTAGAACAAGTCCATAAAGAACATATGATCAATAAACTTTATGAAAAAAATAAGAATAAATAAGAAACATACAACCATGGGAAATAGGCCTTGATTTTGTGATAAGCTTGGTTCGCTCAATCCAGGCTTAATTCGATTGTTAAATCTTTTTTTTTTCCATTGCCTACACAGAAAATTAGTGTTCCGCAATTTTAAATCGTGTAATTGGCGTAAGGTGATGAATGTGTGGATTGCAATCGGTAAGCAAGTATTGCTTGCACAATCAGTAGAACACGTTATGAACAACACAGTTTCTTCATGACATCGCGCTTTTTGAGTCGTGGAACCAAGGAGTCCGTTGCCTCCCCGATAGAATAGTGACTAAGCAATATTTCTTTTTTCCCCGCCTGGGGACCTGAGATGCACCGTCGTCTTTCACAAAGGGCTGTGTTCGCTGGATAGGAGGTAATTATACAGGGTTTTCTACATATACGAGAAATCCAAGAACATTTCTTTCAGTGCATTTGATCTTCAGGCCCAGGCATTTGTAAATCTACTGATGTCAAATAATGTTGGTGTAAAACTGGGTGTCTCACTAACCGTTCTATCATGAAAAAACGCTGACACTTTAAGGCTCAAATAACGGCGGGGATGCGTGAGCAGAGTAGGCAGCGCTCTCTTAACAATTGAGCGCCGTTTACTTCCTGTCAGACTGGCAAGTCCGAACATAGCTTCGACACACATATACTAAATTATTTCTGCACTCATCTTAAAAAAAATGTTCGTGAGCACTTTGGTCTGACTGGATGGCTTCGCCGTCTACATGTATCGTTTTCCAAAATTCCGGCGAGCACGGATCATACCGGATAGATGACCCTTCGCACAGTCAGTTTACACGCAGACAGAAAAAAATCCTTAAAAAAAAAAAAGAAAAGAAAGGAAAACTGCTTCGCCGTGTTCTTGCTATGCGCTTGATTCTTCTTCACCAGCATCCTTACAAGGGGTCTGAACGGTGGTACTGTCAGCATCTGGTTCCTTCTGCGCTGCAATAAAATAAAATTAAGAAAACAGCACAATTATTTACCGTACCGAAATACAACACACCCCGCTGAAGTAATCATTTTGCTGTTCGCTCCCTTGGGAGAAGCTGCCTTCACACCGTGAATTTTGCGAGAATCACTATTCTGACTCCGTAGCTCGTACTTCGACGCGATGAACAAAAGCAATCAGAGACACGTCAACGCCGCTAAAAGCGGCTTCGACCGCCTTTCAGTGCCTATCGTTAGGCATAGTAATTCGTAGTATACAGAGGGTGGGAACGAGACTTATTGATTTCTACCGGAAATTGTTTTATTCTCACTTCTAGTTTTCTTTTGCCCTATTATAGCATACAGCTAAAGCTACGGGCCCCAAGTTCCATTTCCTAGCCAGTTGGAAACTGCGTGGGGTATTGTTCCGACTTGAAGATCCGCGCTCTTTTTTATACGTCTTTCAGGGCCACGGATCGCCGTGTTTCTATACTGCGTTTCACTCTACGTCCAACAGCAGTCAATGCTTTTATCCCATGGGGCCAATCGAGTATAGTCAAGAGTGCATCGTCACAGTGTCCACCATCTTTGGTGTTTGTTGTCCCCGGCAAAAGCAGTCACTGACAAAAAGCGCAGAATCACCACACGCCGCCGCGCATGTTTGTTTTAGCCGGTGATATAGAAATATCCGACTAGCGCAGTGACGATGCACTTTTTTTTCACTGCTTGATTGGCTCCTTTTAATAGCAGTTTCGAATTCGGTCGAACTTGGAGTGAAACGGAATAAAGCTGGCTCATGCTGGAACATGGCGGCCAGCAGGTTCGCTGAGACAAGGCATAACGCAGCTCTCAGCCGAACGTTTACTGCCGAAGAAAAACGCACCTTTTCTTTGGGATCCCATGTAGTTTAGAGCCGTCCCCGATGCTCCCGATGCAAAGTTGGACTTGGCCGAAGACTTCCTGCTGGCACCCGCTTCCCTGCGGCCGCATCCCTCGCGGCAGCCGGCGGCCGTCAAGAAGCCCTCTCTGAACTTTTGGTGCATAAAGCAGTAGGTGATGGGATTGGAGCAGGAGGACGCGTACGCCAGCAGCTGGACGACGCTGACGCCCGTGGGGCCCAGGGTGTCGTATACCGACTTGGGGTCGTACAGGGACCAGGTGTTGACCACGTAAAGTGGCGTCCAGCAGACGAAAAACTCGACCACGACCACGAAGAGCATCCGGATGACGCGGACCATGGCCGACTGGTTCTTCTCGGGGTTGCCGCCGCGAACCAGGACGGTGCCGCGCCCGATGCCGTTGGCCATACGGGTTGCGGTTCCCGTCTGGACCATCGGCTTGGCGGCAGTGCACTCGAAGCCGTTGGCCTTCTCACGGTACACAGCTTTCATGGGAATGCCTGCGGTAGCGATAAAAGAAAATGGGAGTTTTTTTAAATAGTGGCCGCATTAAATATCGAACATTCATGAAATCAAGAACAAGAATCCGTTTGCGTTTCAGTCCTCCTACCTTTACAGAAAAAAGCTGATGAAGACTCATGTTTGCTTTACTCCTCAACTTGACAGCAAAATGGGAAATCCTCGACATGACACAAAAACACGAAACAGAAATTTCTTGCAGCCGTGCGAGTGTCAGCTGTGTTAGCCATCTGTTTGCTTTGCGCCTGTTTCGATCGCCGAGAAATGTTGAGCCACAGCTAGCATGATCCAGACAACGCCTCCTGTTTAGACGCTTTGCACACGAGCCAGATTACAACCGTCCATTGCGGACCGTCTCTTCTCTCACTCGGATGCCGAGCCACTGAGCGGGTGTTGACGAGCCTCCACAAAGTTCAATGTTGGGGATGAGGACACAGTAGAATTTAAAATGGCAATAAGCTGCCCTGCTGTTGTAATGATGAAATGGATTAAACCTGATAGACCTATTGCTATATTACCCAAGCATCAAGAAGAATGCAGGGATTGGTGTTCCACGCGCCACACGTGCAGGCCTTAGCAGTAGTAACTTTTCTAAAGCAAATACCTAAAACAAAGGGCATCTTGCACGCGCGTTCGCAAACGCTTTATTTTGGTTATTTACTTCGAATTTTTTATACCGGGAAGGCGTGCGCGTGTGGCACGTGGAACACCAATCCCTGCATTCACCTTGAAGCTTGGGTAATATAATCCCTTTTCTCAAGGGCGCCGCCATCTTCAAGTGTCGTCACTTCCAGTATGGGCGAAAATATTGTTTCGCCGTCGCCACGCTAATAGAATATACTTATGATATAAGCGTAACGTTGCCTTTTTTCGTTTTGCCTCCCCTATCTTTTTTTGCTATCTTCAGTTTGAAATGTTTTATTATTTTTTCGACGCACCTACCGGATATCCCTTTCAGGTGGCTGGGGACGAGAGTACAAGAGAAAAGGTCTATAGCAAATGGTCTGTTAGAGGAAACAGAAACTGAACGTGGGTTATGTCGGCGCCCATTCACAGCTGCTGCAAAGCGTCTTTACTATATATGCCTTTCGAACGGAGGCAAATACAGTGGGGGCCGCCGCTCGAGAAGTTGCGCGGCGCCGCTGTTGCTTCAGGAAGGGGGCGACACCTTCGTTGGGGCACGACAGAGCCGTATACAGAAAGTTTGTTCATTGGAAAGGGCAGGCAATACCGGGGCGTGAATGAGACGCAGATAGAAGGTGTGACGTTCTCTCTTGGCCAACCAGAAGTGGAAAATTACCCCCTAGCGGTAATATCGAGAAATAATTTTAATAAGTGCGTAAGAGTTAAATGGATAAATTTTTTATGGCTGAAAATATAGTGCTCGTGATGTTTCGATTATGATAATGCAAAACGATGCAATATTCAAATGTTCCGCTCGAACCCTCTTTTGCTCGGCTGAAGTCTGACCGCTCGGATGGCATTTGCCCGGCCCTCGAAGCCTGGCGTACGGATCGCGTCGATCGTTCTCCTGGAATTTGATTTTGCATGACCGTGATCGAACAATCACGTGCATTATATTCTTAGTCACCAAGAGTTACTCTGACGCACTTATTATTTTTTGTTTCTCGCGACCACCGCCAGGACATTATTCGCAGCTTCTGACTGGCCACGTTCGAATCTGTGAAGAAGCCCTGGAACAAGCCGAGCCCTCCCTCGACCAATGACGGCTCCTCATTTGCCTCCTATGCTTCCCAATGAATGGCCAAACTCTCTAAATAGATCTATTGCTAAATTACCCAAGCATCAAAGAGAATGCAGAGAATGGTTTTCCGCGAGTCGCATGCGCACGCATTCCCCGTATAAAGGATTCGAAGTCACTAACCAAAAAATAAATTGTTACGAACCCGCGTGCAAGATGACATTTCTTTTGTGCTATTGCTTTAGAACAGTTACTGCTACAGACGCCAGCACGTGCTGCGCTTACATGGAACCATAGCCTTCTGTTTACTGACAAACCCGGGCAGATTGCCAGGAGACGCGGCCGCGGAAAGTGAAAAGGTAGAGCTGCAGAACAGCGGATGAGAGAAGAGCCTAGAAGAGCCATGTAATGGGCGCCCCGCTGCGGCAAGACGCACCGAAACACGCTTCTTCCGAGCGATGGAATGTTCGTTCGTGCTCCTCTCGTACCTCGCGCTACCGCTTCTTTTCTCATCGGGCTTGGAAACCATGTTTCGGGTCCTCGCTGCTGCAAAAACTTTGCGCTGAATACCAGGTTTTCCTAAAGTCCCTTGATAAAATTCACGCTTTCAAGTACCACCAACCATTATAGGGGAAACGCGCAAGTTACGTGCCTCGAGCGGAAACTCCGCCGCCATTCGCTTCCAAGGGCCACTCATTTCAGTGCTGCGCCGCCTTTTTCTTCCAAGGGCCGCTCTAGACACGGGCCTCGTGCACTGGCTCATTTGACAATACTTGCAAGACAAACGCGAACATATCGAGGGGATTTAGGTTCCGCGAGAAATGCTCTCTGCTACCAGTCTCTCGCGCTCCAAATCTGCGACCGGGCACTTTACGGCCCCGTCGTCAATCTGCCAGGCTTTGTGAGTATAGAGGAGGCTATGGTGGAGCGCCATTCCCTGCATTATCCTTGATGCTTGGGTAATCTATTTAAGAGAGATTCCATCTCAAACCATGGGGAGCGTTTGCAATGTAATGGCGGACACCTCCTGCAGCAATCGGTCACAAGTGTGCATACGCTGCGTTTTCGCGAGGCGAAAAGAAAAGTAGGAGAGAAGGCGGAGACGTTTTCAGACTACAACGCTTGATTGTCACCTGCTGCAGCTCGTATTGCGACCCATAAACCCCGTGACCATGATTGGGCAGTTGGAAACTCTCTAGGGTACAGGCATAGAGTAATATAGTAAACGTAGAGAGAGGACACAGAGGCCGATTCGCGGCCCAGATAGTGCGTTTAATTAATGCCCTCCACTCCGTGGCGCTTTTCTGTAATTTGGTTAAAATTCGTTAGAACTCTTTCCGTGAGAAGTATTCATTTTTGAAATTGTTATACCTTAGAATTATTCGAAGTACTTAAAACGACTAAATAGTTTTAATTTACTACGTCACGAATATCACGTGAGGAATGGCGCCTGCTACGGCCTGCCGTGTGCCTGCTTGCCTGCCCACCCTCGCCTCAGCATCATTCTGCATGGCCTCTGCTCGTCCGTGCGTCGTTCGTCCATGCCGTGCGTGCCGTCCGTTTGTACCTTCTGCTGCAGCATGTTCGGTCGGCTTTGCATCAAACAAGGTGACGCATGACAGCCCGCGTGCTCGCATGCTCGGCGTAAGTTTGTGGAGCCGAGCGGCTTGAGCTTCTCGCGCTGTTGTTTCCGTCGGGCTGTCGGGCTGCAATTGTGTGTGCACCTTGATTTTCGATGAGATTTTTTTGAAAGGGGACTTTACTTATGACTCTGCGAACGACATTGTCTATGGATTTACAGATGACAGTTTTGAACGGTGTTTCAGATAGATCCTTGGTTGTTGTGTTGTGCTCTCTGTAAAATCCAGGAGGTGGGTTCAGCCACTTGCATCCACTGTTGTGCTCACTTCAACACCGTTTTCTGCTATCCGCAGTCTCCTCATTTCTCTCATTGCGAGAGCTTAAAACTGGCTTTGGTCTGTGATCAGGGGGCTTCAAACGTAAGCTTGGCCAACCAACTTGGTGTGCCTGTGGTTAAGCCGTATTTCTTTATGCTGATAACGAATATGTTTACTTTATCTTTAATGTTCCGTACCTTATCAAAACAACCAGGAACAATCTTCAAGCACGCAAATTTTGCATTGAAAATGAGGTCATTGAGCGGTCCCATATTGTTAAACTTTATCGTTCTACCCATGAGATGAGGTTGCGATTGGCTGCGAAACTTACTGAGAGACAGATTTTTGAAAACCCTTTCAATAACATGAAAGTAAAACGTGCCGCACAGGTAATGAGTGCCTCAGTCTGTCTTGCAATCCTATTCATTGTTTATGCCAAGGAGCTTCCTGAGGGAGCCATGGCTACAGTCCATTTCTGCGATAGAATGGACAGCTTTCTAAATAGCTCAAATTCAAGAAGATAGGGCAGAAGTTGCATCATGCCATTCTGAAAGGAGAATCCGAGGTATTTGATTTCCTTCATCTGCAACTCGGATCGATTTCAGCATAGAAGTTCGAAAGTAGGATGCTGTCACAAACCATCATAGGGTGGCACGTTACTATAAAGAGTGTCGTCGTGCTCTGGGAGGAGCTTTCAAATAGCCATGACTTACTTACACGACGCATGCAGCAAGACCCACTTGAGAACATTTTTGGAGCTATATGACAAATGCAGGGCTGCAGTATATACCCAAAGGTGTATCAGTTCACCTCAGGACTGAAACAGATAGGTATAAAGGAATTGTTTAAACTGTCAGACAATGAAAACGTAGAGGATGACAAGGTTGACCTCATGAAGGAGTTGCCAATATTTTTGCATCATGAAAGTTTAATCGCAGACAATGTGGAATGTCTTGCAATTGATAACTTCCCGCCACTCTAGGATATTTCTGAGCTGACATCAGACATCAGGCTTAACATATTTGATGACCCATTAACTTGTTACATTAGGGGCTATTTGATCAAGCATTTCCTTTAACTGACAACCCATAGCTGTGGCGGTTCTCAGCCGCTGAGGGAAGAGTCTGGCAGCTTGGCCAGGCCTCACCAGTACTTACTTGTGCTTAAAGCATATCACGTGCCTGGAGAGCTCTTCGGGAATGTAATATACCATGCCAGGCTGCCTTTAATTTCATTCAGCAACTAGAAAATCGCTTTCTTGCCATAATAGAGAGCGTGGCCCATGTTTGAGGTGTGTGTGCTGTCTTGTATCGCACACTTTCAGGTCTGGGTAGTTTTGGCATTGCTCAAAGTGCCACAAATGGTTTTTAAAA